TGATAAAGGCTATTTCCAAATTTAAAAACCTTTTCGATGAACCAACCATGGGCATCACAAAAATTCAGAAAGTCCAGTCAATTCCAGTGTCAATCCCGCTGCTCTCACTAATTCCGCCGCAGCATAAAGGAAAAAAATACAGACTGACACTCCCGAACCGGGTGCTGAGGATAAAAACCAATAATTGAAGCCCCACGAAGGAAGACGTTTTTTTTAAGAGAGAGGAAGACGATTTTTTTTTAAGAAGACGATATTTATTTTTTTAGGGCGGACATTTTTTATTTCTATGTATTGTAAATTGTTTTTTAGGGTAACCAAGTACCTGGCAAGGAATAAAAATAAAAAAATTTTGTTCCAAAATTTTTTTTCCCAGGAAGAGGGGGTGTAACGATGAGTCCAAGCCATCACCGTTAAACCAGCGTGCGCGCGAACCAACCCATGAAGTAGGAGTGTATCGACAGTAGAAAGGGCAAAACTTCGCTATATAAACCGCAACATTTCCTCATAGAGGCAGAATCGTCAGGTGTTGACTGAAGGTTCTCTTCTTCCCTACCCCGGCTTGTGGACGTGTTGAGTTCACAAGTTGTTTCGTCCCATACCGCCGTACCCGAACCGAAGAGCGTGTTGAGCTCTTCATTACCCGTACTCCGAAGCAGTCGTGTTGAGACTGTCGAGGAGTGTCCTATTAACCCGAATCACTTAAGGGACGTGTTGAGTTCCTTTCTTTTCTTTGTACCTATCGTCCGCTGTTATTACATCGACACAACGTTCACGTAAAATTTCAAAAACGCATTCGCTTGCCGATAAGACTAACTTCATACGACAAGGTCAAACTTAATTTGAATAAATAGGCCAGGTACTAAGAAGACTAAACTAAATTGTAAATATGTACATAAGATTTTTGTCAATTTAATTTAAGGAAGACAATAAAGTTTTATTTGTATCTTGAACTCTGTCTCTGACTGTCCAAAAGCTACCCGGATAGTGACTCCTACGAGAGGACGTCACAATTTTCTCCATTGTGTGTGACAAGCAAATTTTATTTTAAATTGTTGAAGTCATTTACTTACTATTTTAGTAAAATGCCATACTATTTTATCAAAATAATTATTTCTCTTATAGACGGGAACAAATAGAAATCATAAATATTTAATTTTAATTAAAAAAATAATTATTGTCATTAACATATAAATGAGCACGTCGCTGTTCTGATAAACATACCTTCAACCTTGAGCCGAGATCTTTCGGACACTCGATTCTATAGCGAGAATAGGGGACTGCGTAGTCTATATATTATACGTCATTGGTTGGAACGCTCACGATCAGTTACATCCAAAAAATACCATCTCAGGCAAAGCGACGTAGGTAATAAAAGAGAAGAAAGTGTACAAGATATTACAAAAGTGTAAGAAGAAACATGACCAGTAGAAAGACCGTTAGAAAAGTTAAAATAGTTAAAACATCCTGTGGAGCATGTGATGGTAAAACAGCAATATGTCTAGTGTGCTTCAATAAAGCACATTAAAATACAATTTCACTTCTACAGGAACCATTATTACGTAAAAACGTAGTGTTCCACAAGTGCCCTTATAGTACTGAAAATCATAAATTAATAGTTTCTATTAGTACGTTTTTATTGTTCATTACCTCTGTAAAAGTGAGTTATAAAATTATTTTTGTAAATTGTATTATATTTGTAAAAAAATTGGATGTAAATAATATACCTTCGACATAATAGATAGCTTCTATAACTTCGATAACCTCTATAATAGTGTTGATTTGACTAGACAATTGCTCATAGTCCATATTAAGAAATAACCGAATAGACAATCTCTACTTGTCAAAGAAACTAAAAACAACGTGAAATAGTCAGTATTTACAGTCCTGAAGAAATATGTGTGAAGAAGTGCAGAGATAAACGAGATATATACATGCTATATTCAGAATTTCGTTGTCAGAGGGTTAGAACTAGATCAAGAAGAGGATTGGTAATTAAGAAAGTTAATTGATCAATTTAATAAATATAAATGTGGTATGCACTTACGTGAACAAATGCTGAGCTACTATTCATGTGAACATATAACATATTTCTTATATAACAGTGGATATCAAAATAAGATTTCCCTTTGCGATTTTAAACTTTCGGTCAATGAGAGTCTTTAAGGACCAAATTCCTAGTATCTACCTATTAAAAAACTGGTAGTTCACCATTTATCTTAAAATTTTCCAAAAACTATTTTACGAAAAACTAGGTGCTACAAATTAGTATCAGTTATTCATTCTAATGTAAAAAGTTTTTTATTATTATTTTTTTATTTTTCTTTAAGTATTTTTAACTTTTAAAGCAACATTTCCACAAATTTTATTATAGTAAATAAAAAATTATACATTTACATAGTTATTTATTATTTAAATAGAAAACAATTAAACATGAACAGTGCACTGGTAGCATATACAATATATTTACATATACAATATATTTTAAATTTAATTTGAAACAAAAAAAATTATATTCTACGTAAACAAACAAAATTTAACCAAAAATTAATACTAATTTTAAAAAACTAACCGGCACCGTCTGTACATCAACATATTTTATTGGAGACGAACGTTTTTCTCGTATTTGTCAATTTTACCATAATAATACAAGTATTACTTATCTGTTGCTGCCAGCGGCAAAATTCGTTTCGATCGTTCATTCATAATGTTTCACAATTCTCTGGGAAAAATTACCTGCTAAATTAAATATGCAACCAAACCATAATAATAAATCCGAGACCCTAAACTGGTCGGTAAGTTGTATGTCGGTCTGTGAACTCTACCAAAACGGATCGATATTTATGTATCTATTTTTCAAATAGATATATATATATATATATATATATATATATATATATATATATATATATATATATATTTTGGCAACATCTCGTAATACTGTATTGACGCAAGACACAATGATTTGACCTATAGGGAGTTAAAATGTCTGTTGAGTGTAAAAACATAAATATATAAAAAAATCGAAATATTAAAACACTGACAACGGTGTCAAGCCTAAAAAGATACACTAAACGAATATACATGACTTATAATTTGAATATGATAGTATTTCTCGGTGATGCTAAATTACTGCAACGTGAAAAGAGTTCAAAATGATGGTGGGATATATATATATATATATATATATATATATATATATATATATATATATATATATATATATATATATATTTGTAGTCTCAACAATTGGTCTGTGGGAAATAAAACTCTATTTGTTATTTCTCAATATTTCGTCACGATTTTGTGACTTCTTCAGGAGAAAACTGTAAATTTATTATAATTATTATATGCAAACAAAATCAATATTTCAATACTTACAACTATAAGATTAAAAATTTAAATTTTGATAACATATCTACTTGTGAATTCCCTCTATGAAATATTGCGGTTACCATAACTCCCAAATAAATTAAAATCAAAATTGTCATTTAAGTAGATATACCACCTTAATCTATATTTAAAATCTATTGGCGAAGGATGATCATATGCACTACCCATTCCTGAATATAAGAAAAAAAGTTCTCTAGCACGTCTTGATTCAACCTCGAAGTTAAAGTATAGCCAACGTTGTATTTTGCTTGTGGGTAAGAAAGTAACTCTTTCAGAGATCTATTAGTAAGCAATATCCTTCTTTGAAATGGAATAAGTCCTTTAAGTTTACTAACCCGCATTCAGTTGACCATTTCTGACATTTCATCTAGTAGACGTGACTGCTTATCTAAATCTGCTCCATATGTATTTCGCGTTAGAGAATTGGAGCGAACGAACTATCATCGAGAATTTAATAGATCAAATCAATCATTCAATCAATCACAATTCCAGCAGCTTCTTTCCAGTAACTATACTATCTTTTGGCATAAGCTCATTTTCTCCAGCATAACTAATAGCTTTTGCTACAGAATTGGACAATAATTGAACTCTTTGCCTCATAGAGCCTTTTAAACAGAGATGATGTAGTATCAGTTTATGCGCAATTTTCAATTCCGAAGTTGATATATTTAGTAGTGCTTCAAAGTAATCCTTGTTGAATATTTTATTGTCAATAATAAAACCATGATCAATTATATGATTTCGGGCAAGTTTAATCAAATGTGGAGGATCTGCAAAAACAAAAAATATTTAAAGATTTATCACTGGGGTGTTTAATTTGTAAAAACAATTCATCTACCGCACGATGCACAAATAAATCTACCGGGACAGGGAATCCTGCATCTCGAACACCGTAGTACCCTGAACTGTTGCTTCGCAGGTAACGTCATGCGCGTCGGAGTATATATTTCTATTCCTTGAGTAGCATACCGGTATTTGTTTATCGTATGCGTGTTTATGAATACAGCTCAAATAAACATACTGTTGCAAACTTCTTTCATTGAAAAAGAAAGAATAATCATGAATAATGGGAGTGTATATTCATTAAAAAAATTCGATTTGTAAAAACTAATTTATAAACAACTAAACATTTCAAAAATAAACTTCTGTTTTAATTGATTCAGTTTTATTGCATTAATATCCTACACGTAAATATGTTTTTGTTTTTAAATATTGGATATTATCTGTGTAGTAATTTCCAAGCAGTGCCAGTCTATTAAAATTAGATAGAACAAAAAATTGTTTACATGCAGTTTGTTAAACAAAATAAATTTGAAAAGAAGGTTCTTTTTACGGAATGACGTTTATGTAGCAAACGGAAGATATTATACTTAAAATGTATTTTTTTCAAACTTAAAAAAAGTTTTTTTCACAATTTTTCTAAACAATTTTTCTAACCACTCTCAGTCTATACTATAATAACTCTAAACTATATTTGATGTATATTCATTGCACTATGTGGAAAGTGTCAACTAAACACATAATAATAACTGGGAAGATATTTTTGAGCTTTTGTACAACATTGTTTGTTCCTTTATATGTACACGATTTAGTATTTTTCACTATTTTAGGTCCAGTGTAGAGCTGAACAAACCACTTCTTGCACAGTTAGAACAGCTCAATAAAGATATTAAAAAAAATCAACAGGAAATAACCAATATAAACTGCAATATTCTTAAGAATGACACTAGGATTAAAGAGCTGTTGTGTAAATAAATAGTTTTTATAGTGGTTCATAACAGCATTATTTTTATTATCGAGGGATTGTTAAACTATAGGTAAGATCGATATTTTTGTTATGTATATTTCAATATTTTAAACGAAATAAATGCAAATATTTTAATGTCTTCATTATTTTTCTGTTATATTTTCTGCCAACTAAGTTAGATGGCGCAAGCTAGCAATACCACTGTAACGTTTAAGAAGTCACGCACTTACTTTCCACGGACTTAGTACGTAGAGTATTTAACGAACTTTTGAATATGCAAGAATTTCCAGATAAACTGAAGTTGGCGAGACTCGTATTATTACCAAAACCCGGAAAGAACGCGGACGAAGTCAACTCATACTATGCTTACTAGATTGCATAGGATAATTCTATGAGGGTCTTTTAAAGAAACGCCTTGAAGAAGAACTTGAAGTTCTGAGAATAATTTCAGATAGACAATATGGTTTTAGAAAAGCCAAATCGGCTATGGATGCGGTGAAGAAGATATCGACCCTTCTATATGGGGCACCTGTATGGCTTGACGTGTTTAAATTAAAAAAAATAAAGGATTATTACCAAGAACACAAAGAAAATCCCTCCTTAAGGTAATTAGTGCGTACCGGACTATATCGACGATAGCCCTACAGATGATTGAGGGTACATGCACAATTCACCTCCTAACGAAAGAACGCAATATATTATACAACAACGATAATGGCCATCTAACACGGGTGAAAACTGAGGTAAGAGAACAAATGGCAACAAGAATGGGAGGCATAGACAGAAAAAGCACAATGGACAAGGACACTAATTCCAGATGTAAAAGAGTGGTATAAATATAGGTTTAAAAGAACTAATTACTTTTTTACAGAATTCTTGACCGGACACGAGTCAATTATGTCTTATACATATCGCATAAGGAAACCTGAAGACGATTTATGGATGGAATGGAATGCGCGACGACGCAGAGCATTGTGTATTCTATTGCAACACTTTTCACGATAAACAACAAGATATGAGAACAAAGCTAGGAGAGACAACATCATGGAATAAAATGACTAGCCATACAAAACGCAGAGAACTTTAACGCTATAGTAGTACTAATAACAAAAATAATAAAAAAAGGAACGAGAAAGTGCGAGACAAGATGGGAGATGAGAGAGTGACAAAGACTATAAGACAAAAGTTTGTTAAGAACACGTACCGGGTAACTGGCTGGAAATGAGGGCTTTTAATGGGTAGCAGACGTGTTCTCACGATCGATTCGATTCCATATTCGATGCAATATTCGATTGGATATTCGAGTTGATGTTCGATTCTATATTCGATTCGATATTTGATTCACTTTTATTCGACTCACTTCGATTTATTTAGTTTATTTTATTTTATTCGGTTCGATTTTATTTTTAGTTTTTTAAATTTTCGTTTATTTTAATTTATTTTATTTTATATATGTAATTTATTTTATTTTATATTTTATTTTGGGATTGCGTTTACTACTCCACGTAGTGTGTTATCTTTTTGTTCTTTTGAATTTAAATTTAATTAATTTTGTCATTTCCAATCATTGTTAAACCATTTTTAAAATCAGTTTTAGTTGAATATTTTTAATCACTATCAGGCTCTCTTCCATGATAATTTAATTTGTGCATGATTTTATTTTATTGTATTTGTAAAGGTATTTATTATAATACTGTTTATTTCTATTTGTATACCACCATTTAATAATTGATGGTGCCTTTTTATATTACTTGTATTTCCATTCAGATTTAAAATCATCAGATTTTTCCAAATTTAATCGTGTTGTTAAATATATTGTGTTGTTTTATGTATGAATTTTATTTCTCGACTCCTAATAAGTTTCCTGATATAACACCTTTGATATAACGCCTCACAAATACCTCTGAATTTTTGCTTAATATATTAAATTATTATTATACCTTCGACCAGAAAAAGGATCAGGCTGATTAAGTTTCGTAGGTAAGTAGGTGTACTTTATTTTGCATGGAGAGTGGACATTCTGATCGTTTATTATTCTGTGCCCACGCCCTGAGAAGGGCTTGAGGAATGAGGTGGAGGAGGATATTTGTTGCCCATACTTTACCAAAGAAAATTAAACAAATAAATAAGTATCAGGATATCTGTATTTTATTTTGTTGTTTTCGGGACTTTGATTTTGTAATGGAAAACAGATATAGTCATAAAATATTAAATAAAAACTTTCCTGTGCCATAATATATACTTTCTCTGTGTGATATGTTATAAATTTATATAGAAAAATACGTATACTTTATCTAATTTACTTAGCGTTGCACGCCTTTATCATTGACAGAGATCGAAGTTGACATAGTTGCCAAAGTATAAAAAAATCCTAAATCCATTTTAAATCAAATAGGTCACATAATTATTGCAAAAATGGATTATACAACGAAACAAATTAATATTACACACACTGATAATAATAATAATAGTAATTAATAATACAACTAGTTTTGTTCTAAAAAGAACAGATTTTATTAAATTGATAAAAATATAAACCAAGAGGTATTCACTTTAAAATTCAAATTAATAAAGTACAAAAGTGTCAACACCGAAATTTTCAAATAAGTGTTACCAATTTATGCCAAAATATCACCTTCGTTCGATTACAGTTACAGTGTGTTCCGAACAAATGTCCTTTATGTCCTTTATTTAAATGACTATATTTATTTTCCATTAAATGTATACTTTTTGAATTTTGCCGCCTAAAATTCACAGCAACCTTCTTCTTCTTCTTCTGGTTCCTATCAGTTTCGGATGTTGAAAATCATATTGGCAATCATAACCTTGCTCGCTGCGGCTCGAAACAGCTCCGTTGAGGTTTTCTTAAACCATGTTCTTAAATTCCACAGCCATACACAATCTCTGGTTCCTTCTTCATTTTTCCTAGAACTTCCTTGTTCGTAATCCTTGCTGTCCATGATATTCTCAGCATTCTTCTATAAAGCCACATTTCAAATGCTTCAAGTTTTTTAATAGTGGTGTCTGTAAGCGTCCATGACTCTGCCCCGTACAAAAACACAGAGAAAATATAGCATCTCAAATGTCTCATTTTTGTATCTAGGGATATGTTGTTACTTTTGAAGATGGCGCTCATTTTGTTAAAGACCGTTCTTGCCTTTCCTATGCGGCACTTTATTTCCTGTACATTGCTCCACTGTTCGTTTATAATAGTTACCAGGTAGCAATACTATTTTACTCGCTCTATCTACGTCCCATTAATGTAAAGATGAGCCCCGTTTATATTCTCCTTGCTGATAATCATTTGTTTCGTTTTGTGGGTATTAATTAATTACTATTTAACTGACAATAAGCCACAATTAAAGATAAAAATACGTTTATTGACGTATTTGGAAATTCGAAATTGTTTCAATTTCCACTTCGGAAATCGTTCTCAAAATACGATTTTTGAGAACGCTGTCGTGCACTAAATCAAAAAATGTAATAGAAACCAACTGAGTATCCGTATCACAGAAAAGGTAAGCAGAAACGTGTTCCTATAACAAATATGGCAACATGGCCTTCAAACACACTGTGTATACAGCCATACTTATGGCATCCAGAAACACAGATATGGGTTACGGATATATTTGTGGCATCTTTTTCACACAGTTTCTGATCACAAAATAATTGTGGAATCCGGTGCCACAATTATATTCGTCGATAATATTCATGCCAGGGAGTGTATCAAAGTAATTCCTATCCATAAACACTCTGCTCGAAGGGTGCCACTATCATAGTATGTTAACTTCGATTTGCCACAATTGAGGATATAGTATGCGATGCCACGAATATTGCGAAACGTGTATAGGTGTGCGTGTGTGTGTGTGCGTGTGTGTGTGTGTGTGTGTGTGTGTGTGTGTGTGCGTGTGTGTACATATTCCTGTATTATGGTAACTTCATAAATTATGGTAACTTACACACGTTACCACTAATTTGTTTCTCAATATCTTCTTTGTTTTAGTAGTATTTACTATCTAAATAATTTGATATGCTCTTGTTGTCATTTGGCTTTCGATAGGTATTTTTTTTGCTAGGATAGGACCGAATAGAGCATAAATAAAGAATGTATAACCCTGATTCTGCGTATGTTGCCAGAAATCAGGATGAGGCAGATTTAATTTATACACGTAATTGTGGCATCATGGGCGTGGTCGTAAAGTAGCGCCCTCTGAGATGACCTTGCGGTGTTGCACATTTCAGTTGAAATAAAACTAGTTTTATTTCGCATTTGGGAATCAGAGGTTAAAACCTATCAGATCTAATAGACTTGTCTGGTACTGAAAGAAGATGACTATGGTACGGAATCTATAAGCTGCAGCTAATTGCACCCTGAAGAAGAAGTGTAACAAATATTGACTTGGGTGGACAATTTGGCATTGGGACGAGGTTGCAAATGTTTCGAGGACGTTTCTATTGGGTGAACTGCAAATGTAAAAAGATGGTACCTACTTACTTTACCGTTTCCGGATATTTCTTTCTTGGCTCTACAACTTTAAGTCTTTTCTGTCTGTTTCCTGTCTTGCACAACAATCTCGAGATTGGAGATTTTAACGCCAAGATTGGAAAAGGAAGAGAAGATGACACGGTGGGGGAGTTTGGCCTCGGAATAAGAAATGAGAGGGGAGATTGTCGTGTTATCGAAGAGGGGTTACAAATAATAATCGATACTTCACATAAACATCAGGTTATTCTCAACCCTCAAACATACATCCATGCCCGAGCTTTGGCTACCTTCACATGACATGTCTAACCCCCGTCATCCGTGTTGCCTAACTCCGGCACCTATATCTTAAACTAGGCTAACAACACATCTCCCTTTATTTTATAAAAGATCCCTGTGTCATTGATGATCTTATACCTAAACTAACTTAAACTACTACAAACATAATATGTTAAATGAACCGGTTTCTTCACAAGTCTTTTTGGCCTGCTAGGTTTTACGCACTCAAAGTCCGATACACTATCAGTGTCACTATCACTTTTATCCTGACCCGATGTAGGTAAAACATGATTTCCACTTTGTTCGATTTTGTCCGGAAATACACTGGGTTCCCCCCTACCACTTTCCTCCATAATTTTACCCTGTATGTCACCATT